AGGACGCCCCCTCGGGGCGCGCGGCCACGCCCCCCGCCCGGCGCACCCTCCGCCGCCTGGCCCGCCGCGCGCGGCCGCCGGGGGCGGGGTCTGGGCCGGAGGAGCCGCCCCCGGCGCGCCCACTCCGGCCCTGGAGCGCGTCCCCGCCTGCTTCCCGAAGCGCGCCGTCCCCACTCGGGGCCCCCAGCCGGAGACCCCGCCTCCGGTCCCTGCGGCGCGCACCCCCTGGCCCTTCTCGGAGTACCCCCTCCCCACGCCGGCAAGCTCCGCCTTTCCCCGGTATGATCCTCCCTCCCGGGAGCGCCCCGCCCCATCTCGGCACGCCCCTCCCTCCCTCCCAGGACGGCCCCACCCCCTCCCGGCGCGGCCCTCCCTTCTCGGTGCGCGCCCCGCCCCCTCGCGGGCGCGCCCACCCCACGCCAGGGCGCGCGGCCGGCGGGAGCCCGCCCCTTACCCGGACGCTTCCACCCTGGCCCCGGGCGCGTCCCCGTTCTCGATGGGGGAGGGCTTCGCTCCCCACGTGGCCGGGCGAGGGTGCGGAAGCGGCCAGCCCCGCCCCCCGGCCACGTGCGCGACCCTTCCCCCTCTCCTTTACCCTGACCTGGGCCCTGCTGGACCGCGCTCCCCTTCGCTCCTTCGCCCCTGCTACAGGAGTCCCCTCGCCTTTCCCGGAGCCCCGCGTCTGGGCAGGAGGAGTGGGGCGCCCCGCCCAGCCGGGGCCGGCGAACCTGCGTTCGTTTCTCTTCCTGCGCCCCCCTCGGGAGTCACTTCTGCGCACCTCACGAGGGGTGGGGAGGGTCGGTGTCTGCTGGAGAGGAGCGGGGTCTGGGGGTCAGGAAGGGGAGCCGGATGGGGTTGCAAAGGGCTGGGCGAGGCAGAGCGTTCCGGCCCTGCCAATACACGGGGTTAGGAACATCGCTCCCCGCCGCCGGGCAGGAATCCTTGGGACTCAGATTGGGAACCGTGGGGCCTGTAGAAACCCCGAGGACGTCCGGGCCAGGTAGCTCAATGGGGAGGGCGCAGATGGCCGGGGTCAGCCAAGCCAGAAGTCCGGGGCCGGGGTCACGCGGAAGTGGGACGACAGGGTGGCCCTCTCCGCGGCGACCACGGCCCCGCCCCTTCCTAGGCTGGCTGTGGGGAACGAGCATGGCCAGAGCGGCCTCCTGGGAGCACAGCTGCTTCGGCCTGCGTGTGGACAGGGCCGGAACCCCGGCCCCAGCGGCCCCAGCGGCCCCATCCCCGACTCCCTCTTCATTCTCCCGCCTCGCTGGCCGCTAGCCGACCCGCAAGGCTCTTGCCCCTGTCTGCTCCCGTCTGGGCCCCCCACCCCCACCCTGCACGTGGCTGTACGGGGAAGGGCTAGAGATACAGTGTTGACTAAAGGTTGCCCAGACAAAGTACTGCCACTTTGACAGACCAGTCCCTTTTTCCAGGCCGTGGACCATCCAAGCGGGCACTTGGCGGGCACTGCAGTCATCATTTCCTGCCGGCCTGGGCCCCCCTATGCCCCCTGTGCCCTTGAAGGTCTCAGAGGTGAGCCGCCTGGGCGAGTCCCCAGTCCCCCATCAGCCCTCAGGGGCCTTAGGCGCCCCACTGCCCATAGGTGCTGCCCAGCTTACACCAGGCACGGAGGCAAGCCACAGAACAAGAAAGAGGCCAGCACCCATTTGTTGCTTCCACGGACGTTTACTGTGCCTGGAGCGATCCCCCCAACAGTGTGCCCTCAAGGGGCTCAAGATCTAGGGCAGGGCAGCTGGGAGTCAGGAAGGGGGTGGGTGGGTTGGCACAGGCCTGCCAGGTGGAAAGGGCGTGGGTGGGCATGGGCCTGCCGAGTGGAGGAAGGGGGTGGGGAGAAGTACCCCACAGGCAGCCCCACCTGGGGCCTCCAACAGGCGTGGCAGGGGGCTGCACTCAGGGCTGCTGCAGGGACATGGGGTGATGGCTAAGGAGGTGCCTTCTTCCTATGGGCAGAGAGTGTGAGTAGACGGGTCAGGGCTGCCATCCTGGTCATTCCCAGCAGGCTGCATGGCTCCAGACAAGACATGCCTCCCAGCAAATATCAGGATCTCGGACCTGTGGACTTCATCTGTGGGCCATGCTGGCCGCTCTGCAGGCAGGAGCCCCTGTACGGGGGCCTGTGTTCTACCCAAGGGACATGTGTGCTCACACCCTGAGCAGCCCGCGTGTGTACAAGCCCCAGCACCCGCTGATCCCCACCCCACTGAGGCTCCACGCTCACCTCTGCCTTGTTTTGTTACTCTCTTCTATGACCCTTTGAGTTGTCACCCCCATTTCACAGATGAGGAAATCAAGTCCAGCAGAGGCTGGAGAAGTGGGCAAAGCTGAGACAGTAGAGAGTTTGGGGGAAATACTGAGGTGGCCCGAGCACTTGTGGCAGCCAGTCCCTCCCTTCTTCCTGTCTCTGCCCTGCTTTGGTGGCACTCACGGGGTCAGGAGGGCACTCACCCGGCTGCAAGACCAGAGCGGGACAGGGGGCAGTCAATGGCTTTGGAGGGGAGGCAGGCCTGGGGACCACAGGTGAGCAGAGATGCCCCGGGCCCCTGTGCCCACAGGGAAGGTGCCCCAGACAGGACAGGCTCAGAACCAAGGCTGCAGTGTATGAGTGTGTGTGTACGTGAACATACATGAACATACGTACATGTGTATACACATGCTGGGATGGCCCTAGCTTCTCTTAAGACAGTAAAGACTTCACATTTGGTTTTAATAGTTTTAGCAATACTTTCTATAACATTCGACTTTCTTTTTGAAACCCATGCATATTTTATTACTTTTATTCTTTTATTTAAAAAAATTTTTTTAAGTAGGTTCTACACCCAGCACGGAACCCAATGTGGGGCTTGAACTCAGGACCTTGAAATCAAGACCTGAGCGGCGATCCGGTAGGAGGCTTAACCAACTGAGCCCCCCAGGAGCCCCCCCCTTTGTTCTTTTTAAATGTCAGCAGGTACCAAGCCGTGTCATTACAGGCCACGTGTCCTTTCTTTTTTATGCTTTTCTATATGAAAAACTATTTTCTAAATAAATCCCCCCCCAAGTGTAGGCTGGACTCAGGGACTCACTTCCAAAGAACAGAGCAGGGAAGGGGAGGGCAATGACCTGAGTGTGGGGAGGCCTGGCAGACCCCACCTTAGCCCTTGGTCAAGATCAAGGTCAACTTCAGGGTGACGTCTGGGTAGCATCAGGGACCCTTGATGGGAGATGACAGGAAGACTCAACTCTCTACTATCTCTCAACTCTGTGTTCTTCCCCAAAACCCATAACCCTTGTCTAACCTCAGCCCAGATTAGGGAACATCTTACAAAATTCCCGAGCAGTCCCCCAAACTGTCAAGGTCATGAAAAACAAGGAACAACTGAAGAAGTGTCCTAGATTTTGAGAGTAAGGAGACAACATGGTTCCACAGCTGCTGGAACAGAGAAGGACCTTAGTGGAGGAGGCCAGGAGACTGGACTAAGGTCTGGAGTGCAGTGAATGCAAATATACACAAGTGCATTTCCTGCGTCTGACGAGCTATCGACGGGAGGGGCACCAGGTGAAGGGTACATGGGACTCCATACTGCCAAAGTACTCCAAGATGGAAATTTTAATATCTTTTTAAGTCCTCTCTATGCCCAACGGGGGCTCAAACTCACAACCCCGAGATCAAGAGTCACACACTCCACCAATTGAGCCAGCCAGGCGCCCTCAAGATGAAAATTTTAAAACAAACATGAAGAAGGGCGCCTAAGCGTCTGACTCAATCTCTGCTCAGGACTGGATCTCAGGGTCATGAAGTCAAGCCCAGTGTTAGGTCCCAGTGTGGAGCCTACTTAAAAATAAAATAAATAAATGTTTAAAACAGACATGGAGAGTGAACACAGGAGTCCTATTTATAATGAGAGCTGCATTAAGATATTAGCAGCTCATTTTGGAGGCACCATGGAGTTTTACCCTCCCTTGCTTGTCAAACTGTAAATGTGGTGCCTTTGACCCACCAATTCCACTGCCAAAAAGGTACCCCCAAAATACCCCTAGGGAATCTAGCGTGTCTGTATACTCTTGCATTGTTTCTAATGGGAAAAAAGAAGGAACCCCACTGGGCCTTACTGGCCGTGGCCGTGGGAGGACCAGGGCACAGAGCTTCCAGCAGGCCCCGGCTCCCCTGGTCTCCACCCGACCTGCTGAGAGGAACTTCTTGCAGACCCTCTTCTCTCACACAGGGCTCTGTGGTCTCCACAGGGAGTAGTACCCTGGCTCGGCCCCACTGAGCCGAGTGACGGCAGCCAGGCCCTGACCCCCCAGGTCTCACCAGCATGGGCTCCAGACACACAGGCTCTGGTCTGTGGGTGGCCTGGTGCCAGGCACTGGGGTCCGGCAGCAGAGTTCACTGTCTGGCAGGGGCGCACCCGTGTCCAGAGGCTATCTGAGCATCATGGGAGCCCAGGGCATAAGCCCCACGGGGGTCCCAGGACTTCTCTGGGAGCAAATTGGCCTGAGCCATTTCCCTTTAAGTGGAGACAGTGGGGACAGCAACCTGGTGACCCAGGGTTATCATAAAGACTGACTGGGCTTGAGACAGGAGCTCTGAAATGGAAGGGGACCCTGATGCTGGGTTCGCACCCCCTCCAATGCAGTCCCACAGCTCCCAGGCCGGCCCCGCACCCCGACCGTGAACCTGCCCTGCGGGAGCGCCCACACCTTAGGTCAGGGTGCTCAGGGTCCTCAGGGGCAGCACCCACCAGAGGCCCCATCTCACATCTGGGCCCTGCCGGGCAACGGCTCCTCTCATAGCCACAGCCACTGTGGTGGAGGGAACAGAACCCCCGGCCTCCTCGGGAATCTCGGGGGCCCTGCAGTTCAGGCAGAGATGGACAGAGGCAGCAGAGTGGGTCCCACCAGCTCCGTCTATTGGGGACGATGCGGGGAAGCAGAGTCCGCAGAGGGAAGGAGAGGAGGGTGGACGGTCTGGCCCTCGGGTGCTGGGGACCCCACGTGAAGTCCTGTCTGGGCTCCACGGCCCCGGGGTGAGCAGCATCCACACCAGGTCCCAGGCCTGACCCCCAGAGAGGAGCTTGTGCCCGGCTGTGTCCCCAGGGCTCTCTGGGTACCAGGGCACACACAGACCATGGGACCCGGGGGGCTTAAGCTGTGCCAGGTCAGGTGTCACGGGGAGCCGAGGGCGCCCTGCCCAGGGTGCACATGCTCGGGGGTCTGCTGAGCAGCAGGAGAATGCTGCTGCCGGGTGTGAACACATGTGTTGTGGAAAATCCACAAAATGGAGAACCGAAAGTTGGCCCTTCTCCCAGGCAGCCTAGCCCATGGGCCATACCAAGCAGAAAGGAAGGGGGGGGCGCATCCTGGAATGTACCACTGGCTTCCCCCCATCACTGCTGTGCATGGTCTGACCCCCACCCCAGAGGCTGACGGTGAGCCCTTCAGGGGCACTCCACCCAGAAAGAGGTGACCCCTCAGGCACAGAGCCTGTGGGCCAGGTCAGCCTGAGGAGCCCACAGTGCACAACGGCCTGCCTCAGTTTATCCCTTACGTGCAATGGGCAGGCGCTACGGAACAACCAGCACTCAGTCTCAACACTGTGACTATCCAAGGGCAGGGGAGGGGACACACAGTGAAGCTTTCAGAATCCTTTCTGTCACAGCATGTCATGCAGAACTACTATGACACACAATATGTTCGGGTCCTCAGCTGTGGATTCTGGGGGGACAATTTTCCCCACTTTAACAAGGGGAGGCGGGGTCTTGGCACATTCAGCAAAGAAGACAATGGAGTCCAGGTGAGCCTAGACAATGCAGAGTCTGAAAACAGACCCACGCACTCAAGAGCCCAGCATGTGATAAAGACAGCCCGGTCAGTAGGGGCAAGAGTGGCTTCCGTGGGAAATGGAGTCGGGGTAACCTATTTGGAAAAGCAGTTTGGGTTCCCACCACACTCCTTCCCAAAAGCACTTTCCAAAATTAGACCAAAAATTTAAATATATATTTAAAAAAGAAACCATTACATTTCAAGAAAAACACATCAAATGTTTTATAATCTTGGAGTAAATATTTCTGAGCATGACACAAAATGCAGAAGCCATAAATGAAAAAAGCTAATAATGACTAATAATGATTTTAAATGCTTAGCAAAAATAATATGAATTTTTTTAGAAATCGAAGGAAAAAAAAAACACAGTCCAAGTCAAAAAACAAATTATAGACTGGGGGAAAAACGATTTTAACAGGAAATGGGCTAATTTCCTTAATACGTAAAGTGCTCCTAGTAAACAATAACACCAACAACCCAATGGAAAACAGTTGAAGAATATGAAATACAAATGGCTTTTAAATACGTACATGTTTATAATAAATACAGACTTTCCCATTTTGAAATGATTGTATGAGTGGTAAAAATAACAAAAATAAATCTGACAGGGGCGCCTGGGTGGCTCAGTCGTTAGCCGTCTGCCTTAGGCTCAGGCACTGGGGTCTGGCAGCATGGAGTTCGCTGTCCGGCCGGGGCGCACCCGTGTCCAGAGGCTATCTGAGCACCAAGGGAGCCCAGGGCATAAGCCCCACCGGGGTCCCAGGACTTCTCTGGGAGCAAATTGGCCTGAGCCATTTCCCTTGTAAGTGGAGACAACGGGGAAGCCTGCTTCTCCCTCTCCCACTCCCCCTGCTTGTGTTCTCTCTCTCGCTGTGTCTCTGTCAAATAAATAAATAAAATCTTAAAATAAATACATAAATAAATAAATCTGACAAAACTATTGATATGTTTCATTTCACTTCTAGGAAACACAAGTAAGCTACAATGAAATACAATTTTACCCCTACCAGATCTGCAAAATCAGGCATCAGGGACGGAGGACACTAGGCCCCTCCTTCCTTCCTTGGTGGGAGGCAATTTGGTATGACCTGTTAAAGAGATCGGGCACACATTTAGAGACCTATGAAAAGCACTTCGACCTATCACTCCTGCACTAAAGAATTTAGCCTACAGAAATAGTCCTACTTGGATACAAAGACATTTGTACAAGGATAATCAATCTAGTATTGCTTGTTACAAAAAGACTAGAAAGAACCTAAATTTCTACCAAGAGGAAACAATAAATATAGTACTAAGACAATATGGTGCAGCAATTAGAACGAATGACCCAGATCTCTGCGTCAGAACGGGGAGAGCACTCTCCAGGCTATGTTGACTAAAAGGATCCCAGGTAAAGGGAGCAAAGTTTTGTGTAAACACATCAGATGTATATGCATAGATTTTCTTTGTTGACACAGGAGAAACTGCCCCAGGAGAGGGGAGCCAGGCCTTGGAGGTCAGGGGTGGGAAGGATGCCAAGTCTTCCCCCAACACCCTTCCAGACTCCAAATTTTTTACTCTGTGTATCTGAAAACATTTTTGTTCCAATTCTAAACAAGTTGTTTTCAACTTACTGCATTTGTGGAGCTCTGGCCCTGATGGGGTCAAAAGAACATGCTCTGTGACAAGGGCAGCAGGGGGAGGGTGGGGTGTGCTTTGGGGAAGAAACACTGTAGCAACAGACCCGTTGAGAAACATTAGCCATGTTGGGGTCATCTGCACAAGGCCAGGATGTAGGAAGGGCCTGTCAGCCACAACGCCCAGCCTGTGCAAAGGCCCTGTGGTGGGGAGGGCAGATGAGAGCTAGGCCCGTAGACATTCTCTACCCTACTGAGTACACATCTCGCGTGTACTCAGTTTTGCTTCTTCGCGTCCGTTAGTATCAGAAAAGACCCTAGACTCCCAGCAAGAGGGGCACGTGGGGCTCGGGAGGGACGAGGCACCTGCAGCAGGCTCCACTGCCCATCCCCAGGCCAGGGCACTTTGCTCTGTCAGACAAGGACCGGCCGGACCCCCCAAGCCCAGGGGCGGGGTTTGTCCGGACAGCAAGCCTCGAGGGAGGGGCGTCCTCGCGCGGTCCCGCGGGCGGGCCCCCACCCCCGTCACCGTGGCAGCGGCGGCACGGCCACGCGGCCCGCTCCCTAGGCGCCTCGCGAGCGTTCCACGTCCCCTGCGCACCAGTCCGAAGTTCCAGCCGCGAGCAACGGAAAGCCCCGCGGAGCAAAGCCCCGCTCGCTGTCCACGCCGACACCGATGTCTGCGCTGGGCCCGGACCCTGCGGGCCGGGAGGTCGAGGTGCGCAGGGAAGAGGCGGGCGCCGGGCGGGCTGCCGGGGTCCGAGCTGCAGCCCCTTGCCGCCTCCTCCTGGGTCCGGCCGGCCGCGGTGGCGGCCGCCGCCTTAGCGCGCGGAACCCGCCACTTCCGCTTCCGCCCAGACGGCGCCCCCTCCGCGTCGTGCCCGCCCCCAGAACGAAGCACCGCCCTCTCTTAAGGGGGCCGCGGAACCCAGGAAGCCTCGGGCTGGGGGGCGGAAGTAGCTCTGGGTCTTGGCCTCCGCACCGCCTGCTGCAGCAACACGGGCTCAGTCGCCACGGACGACAGGCCACTCGTCTCCGAGGCCCTTCTCGCTCTGGGGCGGCACAGAGGACACTCCAGGGGTTGGTGGTGAGGTCCTGGGAGACCCTGGCTCAGCCTTGCCTTCAATGGCACCCCGGGACGACACGCTCCGATGGCCCCAAGGCGGGAGTGCTCCCTGTACCCCCGTCCCAGCCCGCCCTTTCCTGGGGAGACCCCGCTGGGCCTTTGGACCGGTCAGGGCCAGGGTGGGCTCCCTTGGCTCTCTGTGCAAGGGACGGGGGTGAGGACAGGCGGGACAGCTAAGTCAGCCCAGCGACCGCACAGCACCTCCCAGGCCTTGCGTCCTTATCTACCACATGGGAGCGGAAGGGGCCCCGGCCCCAGAGCAGAGGGAGCCCACCACATGGGATCAAGCCGGCAAGGGTCCTGGGTTCAAATGCTGCCTACCCCTCCATCACCACCCAACCAGTAGCCTCAAGGGGTGGGACTCCGGATGGGACCCAAACCCACCCCCCCTTCCACAGGGACAGCGGCCTGACCCCTGCATTTGTGCCAAAATGTCCTGGGAGCTTGGGGGCGAAGCCCCGCCCCCTCGTCCAACTCACTGGGCCCTGAGAGAGCATGCATGAACCATGAAAGGGAGAAGAACCCTAAAATTTTAAATCTTTAATTTGTTTTCACGTTTTTCTTTCTTTTTGCTTCCAAAAGGAAAGGAGAACATAGCTCCGCGCCTGTACATCGTCCACGGCCCCTGGGCTGGGGCAGGTCCTGGCCCCGGCCCCCTACCCTCCAGCTGCCTCAGAGGACTGGGGTGCCCGGGGGGGGGGGTTCACATGCAGCCCCCCGCCAGGGCGGGGGCGAGGTCCAGGTGCCGCCTTATTGCTGAAGTCCCCGCACGGCTCAGGGCTAGGCTAGGCGCGCTGGCTGGGCAGCTCCTGGGAGATGAAGCGGCGGAGGCGCTCCAAGTACTGGCTGTAGAGCTCGATGTCATTGTGCCCGGCGCCCTCCACCCACAGCGGCTCCACGGCCTTGGGGCAGCGCTCATAGAGCGCCAGCCCGTGGGAGAAGTCGATTACTTCGTCCTCCGTGCCGTGGATGATGAGCACCGGTGACGTGATCTTGGACACCTTCTCGATGCTGTAGGGCAGGGCACGTCAAGGCTGGGAGCAGCGCCCCGCCCCGCAGAAGCCCCACCCCTGGCCTCCCGCCACGGCCACCCCCATCCATCCCTCTCTCACTTGGGGAACGCATCGAAGCAGTAGGTCTTCTTGGTGTCAGGGAAGGCAACGCGCATGCCTGAGGTGAGCGGAGAGTGCAGCACCACGGCAGCGCACTCATAGCGAGAGGCCAGGTCCACGGTGGGCACCGTGCCGATGCTCTGCCCGTACAGGATGATGCTGTCCGGGCTGATGCCGTACCTGGCAGTGGGGCAGGGTCAGCCACAGCTGGCAGCAGCCATGGCAGTACTCACACCCCTGCTACCCCGCCCCGCTGGGGCAGTCCCCCACTCTCCCTGCGCAGCCTCCAGGCAATGGAGAGTGCCCCTACTCACCATCCCTGTCCCCCAACAATGAACAAGTCTGCTCAGGAAGGAGGCAGGGCCTGGGCATATGTGCAGAGGCCTGGCCCAGCTGCAGCCCCACCTGGCCCTGACCCTGTTTCAGCAACAGTATCAAACTGGATCACAGGTATGGGGTGCCCCTGGTGAGGGCCCCAAGGCCATGCTTAGGCTTCTGGGGGGCAGGGCAGTCCTGGGGCCTCTCCTGCTCCGCCCCTCACCAAACCCCTATCCCCCCACACACTTCATCAGGGACACACCCAGTCCTGGGAGCACAGGCAGGGAACCTGTCTTCCTCCCGGCATCACCCATCCCCTCGGCCACGAGAAATCCTGGTAGCTGTGTCCCCTGATTTTATCAGCCAGTTTACAGCGCCTCGGTGGCTAGCATGCCCAGTTAGGTGCTTAGTACTACACAGGTGAGCGGGAATGGTGGCTCCTGTGTGGAGGTGGGCACCACCTCCCATGTCCAGGTCCCAGCCCTGCCCCCCACCCTGCCACCTGCCCCCCAACTCCTCTAGCACCCCACCCTACCCCTAGCACAACTGACCCAGCCCCAAGCCAGTTCCATAGCCTCCAAGTGCCCATTCCCATCTGCATGGGGACCCACTAGCCACCCTCCCCGGGTGAAAGGCCTCCATGATTCTCCTCCCACAAACCTGGATCCTGATATACCAAGGGGGTACCGCTCTGCATCTCAGCTGTGCACCCTACCCAGGTGGCAAGACTCCACTTCCCTGTCTACCCAGGGGCCATCCACACCTGTCTCTGTCCTAGCAGCACTCCAGGTCACAACTGCCTGGCCTCACACCTACCACCTTGGCCGCCACTCCTCAGCCTGCTCCCCACACCATTTCGGCCACCACTGCGCCGAGCACCAATCCAGCCCTAACCCTTGGACATCTCCAACTGGAAAAACACGACAGGTGCCAGATGGAGCAACAATTCTTCCCCAGACCTCCCCAGCCCCTGGTCACCACTCGGGCCCAAGCCTCCTGCCCTCCCACTGACTCTTTCCCTGAGGGACTGGGTCTCTGGAAGACAGTGCCGGGAGCAGGACAGATGGTGGAATGGAGAGAGCTCGGAGCCCTCACCCCAGAGCGGGGTGTGATCTGCCAGCCACCCCCAGCCGGCAGGAACAGCAGGAAGGGCTGAGAAAGCCAAGGGCAGCTCGTACCTGCACCGCGCCACCCAGGATGGGTCCCCAGTGCCAGGGTGGTGCCAGGGGACCCCACTCCTGGGGCCTGTAGCCCGGACTGCCTGGTGCATCACTTCGGCAACCAGGGTCCCCACCTCCCCAGGGCAAGCTGACTTTGGTCCCTATAGGAACGGGTGGGGCGGGGCGGCCAGGCAGGGCTGAGACGGGGCAGCCCCAAGAAGGCAGTAGGCAGGGCACCACCTCCAGGAGGGTCAGAGTCAGTCAGGGTGGTCTCCTTCCAGAGGATTCTTTGGATTCTCAGACACCAAGCAAGTGTGCTTCAGTGAGCAAGCGGTAGGGTGGGAAGGGGGCTGCCCAGGAGCTGGATGAGCAGCACTGTGGGGGTCCAGGGAGGGAGGCGTGGCCCAGACCTCGGTGGCCCTGAGTCAAGCACACAGGTATGCGCTGGGGGCCCACACCCAGGGAGGACCTAGCCTCTGCTTGTTAGGCTCCCACTGGCCCCCAGGGCTGTGCTAGACACCAAGCTGCCGGACAGAACCCTCCAGGCCCAGAGGAGACCACAGTCCATGGCCACTCATGCCTCACAGGCCAGCCGTGAGAACATGAGCAAAGCAGCTCCACTCTACCCTGCAAATCAAATGCTCCCTTGCTGCAGGACTCTGAGTCTTTTCACACAGCCTGCACACACCACCTCCTATGCTTGCATCCTCCATCCACCCAGTAGAGGCGGAGCCTCCACTCCCCCAGGGACAGCCCCAGCCCATCCACACCCCTGCCAGGCAAGGGGTTCCCAGAAGGAGAGGAGGGGCCCACACCCAGGGAGAAGAGTGCCCACCCCACCTCCCGGCACATCAAGCATGCCTGTCACACCAAGGGGACACCCAGTGTGGCCTTTGATGGCTCCCTCTCCTACAGGCCACCCACCAGGACCCAGGGAGACTGGCCTGAGTCCCTGGGCGGTCACCCCCCACCCCAACATAAAGCTCACCGGGTGCGCAGCGCCTGCCAGGCGGCATCAATGTCCGCGTACAGGTTCTTCTCGGAGGGCTTGCCCGAGCTGATGCCATAGCCCGAGTAGTCGTAGGAGAAGATGTTGCAGTTGATGCGCGTGCCCAGGCCGATGTAGAAGCTGCTCATCTGGCCCAGGTCCACCGCGTTGCCGTGGGAGAAGAGAACCGTGTACCTAGGGCAGGGAGGGAGGGAGGACAGGTCAGAGGGCCCCCCAACCCCCACGGACAAGAGTATTGAGGGAGACAGGCCACCTCTGCCACCAAGAGCCCGGCTCCTCCTGGCTGTGTGGTCTTGGGCAGGGGACAGCCAGCAGAGCCTCAGACGTCCCCTCTGTGAAAGGGGACCGCTGGGACCATCGGTTACAGTCTCAGCACAGGGTGGACTCACAGTGCAAGCTAAGCAAGCACAGCGACCGCCATGGGTATTCCCCCTGGGCAGCAGCTGTCTCTCCTCTGGAATCGCTCCTTTTAGAGGGACTCTTGACAGCCCAAGATGGCACACACATATGCCTGCAGCTTGGAACCTTCCGGAGAATGAGGCAGCAGCACCCACCCTTGCCCCCACAAATGAATAAAGCCCCCTACTCACAGCACCTCTTCCCACTCTCAGAGAACATGACCCTAGCACTCATTTCTGCCCTGCAAGGCTGCTGGCAGATCAGGACCTGCCCTAGGCCACACCGACAGGCTGGGTCCTGGCCAATCGACTCCTACAATCTTCTTCCTCCAGCACCCCTGGGCCCCAGCCTAGCTAAAAGGTAAACACTTGCCCTTTGAACTCAGACCTGGAGTAAGAACCCCACCTATTCTAAAGGCAGAAACACCTGGAAGGCCCCACCTCTTTCCCACTGCTGTACTCAGGGAAGAGCTGCACCTCCAGGCCCCAAGGACACCCTGGTAAGGAGGAGTCAGACTTCGCCTCAGACACCTGCCAGGACTCGGGTGCCCTGGCCCCAAAGCGAACGCCAAGGCCTCACTGAGCACCAAGCACCCAGGAGCCCTTCCCTGGGCAGGTGAGCACCGAGACCCTGAAGCAGGCAGCCCCTCATCAAGCAGGTGTGACATGGCCACTCAGAACCACCTCCCC